TCTTTGATACAGTTAGCCACCCCAAGAATTTTAATGTCATCTGCAAACTTCAATATTTTGTTAGTCATTCCAGAGTCAATATCATTAATATAAATCACAAACAGCAGAGGACCCAGCACAGAGCCTTGAAGCACACCACTTGTGATCCAATCAGATCTAAGTAGCAGTTCACAAATAAAATCTTTAAGTTCCTTTAAAACTCTAGAATAAAAGTTGCCTGGTCCAGGGGACTTATCAATTTTTAGGTTTCCCAACTTTTGTTTTACAATTTCAGAACTTAAAATGATATCTCTTAATCAATATTTTCCCCACACATTAAGTGCTCTGGTTGAGGCATATTACTTGTATCTTCATTTGTAAAAGCTGAAGAGAACATATAATTTAATAAGTTTATCATCTCATAATCTTCTGAGATCAGCTCCCCACTATCATTTTTAAGATGCCTAATCCCCATCCTGACATTTTGCTTACCCATCATATATTTAAAGAATCCTTATTGTTTGATTTAACTCTCTCAGCCAACCATTTTTTCATATACAGTTTTTGTCCTTTTAACTTCCTTTTTAACCAGCTCTCTTGATTTCCTGTAGTCCTCAAACTTCTTATTATTTCCAGTAAGTTTAGATTTCTTGAATTTATTATGTTTTTTCCTCATATGATCTCTTAAACCTTTACTACACCATACTGGCTTGTTCCACTCCATTGCCCCTTTTTTCTGTAGGGAATATGTATGTTCTGTATGCATATCAGCTTTTCCCTAAATGCTTTCCACATCTGTTCAAGATCCCCTCTCAACTCTTTAGTCCAATCTACAGAAGCCAGATCATGTCTCATTCCATCAAAATTGGCTTTCCTGAAACTTGGAATCAGGGTACTATTCTTTTTCAATACTACATGTAGTAAAATCCCACTTCTAATAGTGCAGTGGTCGCTTGTTCTTAAATGCTCACCAACCAATACTCTGTCTATCATATTCACATTGGATGCTAAAATATTAAATCTAATATAGCTTTCTCTTTTGTAGGTTCCATCACCAGTTGATGTATAAAAGTATCTTGAACAATTTCCAAAACCTATCTCCTCATTGTCAGACTCAAAATTTTCCCAATCAATACCCCCGAAATTAAAATTTCCCATAACATCATCTTTTCAACTACTATTCTTATCTCATTATATAGTTTCTCACTAACTTCCACAGTCTGACCTGGTGGTTTATAACAAATCCCAATTACAAAACTCTTCCCTATATATCCACTAACACTAACACAAACTGACTTAACCTCAGTGCTATTTTCTTTAATATGCTCTAACTCAATGCGATGAATCCACTCCTCACATACGAAGCTACTACTTCTCCTTTTTTCAATACTCTATCTCTGGTAAATAACCTGTAACCCAGTATTTCAAAAACATTTCTCTCATCAAAATTGTTCAAATCCAACCAAATCTCAGTGATAATCATAATATCAAAATCCTCAGTTTCTATGACCACTTTGAACTCGTCAATTATATTTCTAATACTCCTAGCATTACAATAGTAACAATTAATCATACTTTAAATTACGTTCATGTTTTATACCTGTTGTACATGCTTTCCTGTCAATTATATTTCCTATTTTACTAATATCATAGCTCTCACCTTTGTCTAGCCCTAGTTTAAATCTACCACTACAGCCGAGTTAATAGCCCTTGCTAACATGCTAGCCCCTGCCTTATATAAGTGTAAGCTATCCATTCCAAAAAGATTAACTTTCCTTTACAATTATCCCATAAATCCAACCAGCATATTTGCTCATCCCTACATATTGAACTAAGCCGAGCATTCAGTTCCAACAACTTACTTAGTATTTCATCCCCACAATTTATTCTTGGCAATATCCCTGACAAAATCAAGCTCTGACCCCTTTTCTTAAATGCCCTTTTCAATGTCTTATACTTATCAATAAGCTCCTCAGATCCATCTTTCCTTACATCATTAGCCCAACATACACCACTAAAACTGCATTGCTACTAGCACCCTGAACTATCTCTCTGATTCTATCAGTTATATCCTGTACCCATGCTCCTGGATAGCATAAGCATATTCTTTTCCTTCTATTTACTCCACAAGCTACTCTATCTACATGCCTAATTAGAGAGTCGCCCACAATTATAACTTCCCTATCCTTTACACTTTCATCCTTTGTGATTCCATCTGTTTCCCTTACCTGCTCCCTCTCATCACTAGCAAGTGCTTGGAACCAGTTGCTTAACCTAAACCCAAGCCCATCCTTGCTTCTAAATGCATTATTTTTCCAAGCTTTTAGCCCTGTTTCCTTTCTTAGCTCGCTTTAAATCCTGTTTGTCAACTGTACCCTTTGCGTGAAGAAGTACACGTTCTTCACTAAGCCCCACCACCACTTTAAGCAATTTACATTTCTCCCTTTCAACCTCTGCAACTCTACCCTAAAAACCCCCCAACTTGCACATCCTGCAAATAAATTGTACATCCCAGCTAATAGCCTCCCTAAAAGTACACTTTAACCCAGAGATGAAAAGAAAGAAGTCAGTAATTTCTTGAGACTTGGAGATGAAACCATCATTGTCACAACAAATTTAACATAAATGCAAAAACTGTGAGAAAGGGTTTAACTGTAAAGTGGTGGTGGTGAGCGATGAGATGAATCAAATCATAAATAAGAAAAGATTCTGTAAGCTTATAATGAACAGTAGTGACCAGTTGTTATTTACAATGATGATTTCTATATCAAAAAATGACAGGTGGCTAGTAGAAATTTGCCAGATGAAGTTTAAAGATGGGTTAAAGGCTAAAAGAGAATTAATATAGTTGTCAAGTTCAGTCCTGTTACCATAAATATGCTGAAAATTTATCAATATACCTGGTGTACAAATTGGGAGTTTTTCCTGATGAAACTGGAAAAAAAAACTGATTTTCCATATAGCCAATAAGTAGATTTACATACAAGTCCCATCCTGGTTCACATTGCAATACCACATAAATGTTTATAAATGGTGCCATTAAACCTAAATATACTGATTTATTATAAGTTCATTAAGCTGTAAAATGATATCAGTAGAAGGTACAAGTGTATTTCCTTTGTTCAGGAAGGACTTGGGGGTCTGTAAACCCTCAGTATGAGCAATAACAGTGTAAAAGAGATTCACGATGTTAGAAAAACATGCAAGTTCAAGAAATCTTGACAGAAATGAATAAAAACCCTATAACCCAAGCGTTTTCGATAGGTCCACTTTTTCGAAAGTGCTTAGGTTATAGTGTAAAAAGAGATGTTATGTCACCTCTGAAGATCAAGACAGAAGAGTTTGTAGAGACATTAAAACAGTCAATTAACTGTTCTTTACAACTTTTCCTCTACTTCTCTTTCATTTACGTTATTTCTTTATAACAACTGATTTCCCTGTATTGTTACATCACACTTCAAACTATGTTTCGCATGTTCTTTTATTGTGACGTTCAAACATGCTCTGTATATTAGACTTTAACAAGTATCACCTGAAAAAGGGTTTAAGCCCAAAACATTGTGTCTGATTAAAGTTTTCCTAGATGTTATTACCATCGTAACTAGTGTTTATTCTTTCTTAAGCTTCATCTTAGATCTTATGTGAATTTTTTATATTTTTTTTCAGTAAATTACATGATGCAACTTTAGTCTTGTTCTAACTTTGAATGAACGGAATAAAAGGAATATATAATTTTATGAAAACTTGAAACTAAACAGCTTTTTTTAGCTAAGCAACCATATAAACACATTCTATGCCATTCACACTATTTTCTATCTCATCTCTTGCATTACCTAAATAGCTAAAATTTCTGATCCTCACGAGTGATAGGTCAGCTACAAGTTGAACAGCTGTGTCAGATATAGAAGACTGTTTAATGTAAGAGTTATTTAGTTCATTTAGTGATTTAATATTAAATGATTATTTACTTTTCATAACAAGATAGTTAAAAGTAATTATTTTTAAGGTGACAGTTATGACATGTTTGGTTGCATAACTTGGTAAGAGTTGTATATTGTGTGTGTGTGTGTGTGTGGTTCAACTGTTGTAGTATAGTTGACACCAAGTTACTTGAATCTTCACTATTTTTCTTGCTACCTTAAGTGAATATTGTTACATTATAGTATCAATTGCATAGTTTATAGAAAGTCTGAGGCCTCAGTGAATAACATAAAAATACAGGAGACCAGGCAAGTACAAGTCAAGTAGAGAAAAAGTGAAGTTACCCAGTATGTGAGTAATTAGCCGTAACATGCAATATTTTAAAGTTTAATAGAGATAAGGTGAATAATTAGTCTTGCCAAAGGGTGTTCTAAGGTAATTGAACTGTCTGTGTGGACTTTGATGAAAAGTAGACAATTATTTAAAGTTTGATATACAACTGTGGTAACCCATGAAGTAAGTGAATTTATTGCAGATTATACAGTAAGAAACAGAGTAGAGAAAAAATAATGTCTTATGAATTGGATTCTAAAGTAATTGAATCAGCCTGTGTGGACTTTTGACAAGAAAGAGAATTATTTAGAGTTTTAGATACAACTGTGATATCTATAGTGTAAAGACTTTTTTGTACATACATTTGACTTGTTTTGAATTTATTATTTTAAAATAAATGGATTGTGTGCTGTCCGTTTATTGTTTAAATTCATCACCAATAAGTCACATACACCTACTGTAAAGAATCCGGCCTCCATAAACTTGACAATGCCGTATTGGAAGTTAATATTTTCAGTTTAGGAAAATATTAACTTCCCTCCTGAAAAAAGCTTAAATTTCCTGCTGGATTTTCCAGTATCCCTTCTTTGAACCCTTTCCAGTAAGTCATTTTCCTTTCTTTTTTAAGGATATTTAACTGTACATACATTTGACTTGTTTTGAATATATTATTTTATATATATATATAAACAAACAAACAAGACTTGGTATCTGAGAGACTATATGTTATATGTATGGTGTTTATAATTGTCAATTATTCATCACACTTTAACCATTAAGTTATTTAATCCAAGCTCATTATCTACGTTGAATTACATATGATAGGAAGTACACTTTCTATTTGCTTGAAATTTGAATTATCTCTCTTACTAAAGTATGAAACTTGCATATACAACATAGCTGATAGAGCTATTTCTTGACAGCTTTTGCAATTAGTATGCAATACTGTAAGCATCAACATTCTCTGCATAAAATGTAACAACACTCTCAACACATTGGTTTGTAAACATTACATTTTTAAATAACTTATTAGCTATTCATATATATGCATGGATAGGTGATGCTATTTTTTGGGATGATGTCCATTGGGTACAATCATGTATCACATATATTTCAGCTATTTTAATGATTAATCTTTGTACCTTTGATAAGTTACTTATTTTTTAACAATACAATATTTCAATTTAAAACAAAGGACACTTTTATAGTAGATACATTCCTGTTCTGGCAAGTTTTAATAGTTGATGACTCAAAAGAGACAAGATTTCAAATTCTTAATGAAACAGAAATGTGGTATATGCTGATAAAAACCATTTTGATGAAGGCATTATCATATTTCATGGGATTTCAAAGCTTAGAAAATGAATTCACAAATTTCCAGAACTTCCCAGGCTTTCCAACACCCACAAAAATCCTGATAATATGTTGAAAATAGTAAACAATTTCATTCAATTCAGTTGTAAAAATTTGAGTGTAGGAGATAGCAATTCTATTTTTACTGATGAGATCTGTTTATGTGTTTTCTATGTTTACAATATAATTACACATTTTCCTGGTGGTAAGATTTTCCTTTAATTCCAACACAAACTACTATTTATATCTGTATTAGGATCTTCCTTTATTCTATTTGAATTAATGAAGTTTCAGTTTTGTCACTTGTTTCACTTATCTATCTACAAGTGATCTTCCAACTCACAAAATACATTTCTTAATCAGGAGGAATGTATTTTGATTTGTCAGGCACATCACTATACTTTTTCAGACGTGCCAACATTAAATTTTTAAAAATAGTAATCCCTACTGGGACAAAGGAAAAGTAACAAAATGTGTAAATGAAAATAGTGTTATTACTAACTAGGTTTTATTTAATACTTACTAATTACTGTGTACTACTAATTAAGAGCCTTGTATATAGCACTCTTGGCTTTCTATAGGAAATCAAAAGTAAATTTTTGGGATAAACATAGTTTTTGTGCCATCTTCATCTTCCTTATCAGCACTGATTCTAAGGTGGAGTTTTGACACTGATCCTCAAAAGTCTCTCCAGTTTTTGCAAACAAACACGATAACCCATTTACAAACTGTACTGCTGTGTGGTATTATAAGGATAGACTTTATTACTTTAGAAAGTTTATCATATTTAACCCTTTTGCTGCAAAGTTTGGATATATCTGAATAAACATTTATACCCACTGACTGCAAAATTTGGATTTATCCCATGGCTATCAAAGAAAGTTTCTCTCTACTGCGACATGCGGGAATAGCCCCCTGTACTTGAAACAATCACCAAATCTGTATGCATGCTGCCATTTGTGCCCTACACTGTGAAAGAGAACTGGCTTCCTTTGTCAAGCTTTGAAAGGAAAGGCTAAACTTCATAACCAATTACCAAGTTCTCATTTTTTAACTGAAGTTTTCTATCTTTTAAATTCAAATCCAAAATATTTGAAAAATTCGAAATTGCATGTGGTGTCACAACAAGATTCTCTGCAAGCAATGGATGAGTGAGTTTTCGGACTATATATAATTGAAGGTAATTGTTCAGAAATAATGCATCCTTATTGTAAGTAACTTGTAAATTATTTCCTCTCACAAATAAGTGTTTCCTGGAGATTTGATGTCAGGTGTGTTTGTACCTTCTCACTTGCTTTTGCAATTTTGTCTGCTACTTTCTTAGAGGAACAATCCATAGAAGATCCAGATCCCTGCCTACACCTTGACAGACTACCTCTGCTTAGAAGCTTTTTCTTTGCATTTTTCTAAACAACCACTCTCTTTCTTCACTGATACCTCTGATCTACATTGAACAGACTCTGCCTTCACATGGATTTTTTGTTTTTTCTTCATCTTTTTTTTTCTTTTCCATCAGTTTTTTTCTCCCTATCATCATATCTGAGTTGTCAACAGCTAATGATACACAATTTTCCCACTTTAAAGACTTTGAAGCTATTTCTTCTGGTGGGAATCCTGCAATACTCTCACCAGTTTGTTTTCCAATTAAATTGGGATTAGAAAGTAATACCTTTTCCTTGTGGTCATCAAAGTATGTCACAGTTTACAAGTTTTAATGTTATTCACAATTCACTGAGTTGCAATGCTAGCTATTTCTCCAACTATTGCAGAGGTTTTGGTTCTAGAGCATCTGTTTCTTTAAGCAATTTCCAAATCCAGAAACATTTTGGTAAACATTTTTGAAGCATGGTCGGGAACTGTGAATAAACATTCCACTCTGATCACATCATTTTCTGATTTGGTATTCTGTTTTATGAAAAATGAGTCTAGTTTATTAATTCCAGAAGCCCTTGATTTATTTTGCTGGTGTTTAGTAGTGTTAAGATGATTTTTGATGTAATTTTCATCTTCATGAAAAATGAAGAAATCACAAATGCAAACTGTAAATCTTGCATAATTCATACCCTTTGAGCATGATACAATATCATTAAACTTTTTTGAATACCCATGCCTACACTTCTGCTCACTATAAACTTTTCTTCATTGGAATCATTGGGGACAAAGCAGAACTACAATTTTCCACCATTTTCCTTTCAAAAAATTATCAGCGTGACCCAGATGCTTACTACTTACATGCCTTTTTAACAGACTATTTCAAGCATTTGTAAGATTGATAAGCAAAGCAGAGAGTAGTGAATTATTTCTGGAAAATTATTATTAGAAAAAAAAGGTCAGTGAGAAAGTTTCAGAATTTCGCATAAAATTGTAGAATAACACAACAATTCATACAGGCGTAAAATAAACAAAATCAGAACAATTACACCTAAATCGTAAGAGTTGGCAGGCCTGCCTCTTAAAAAACATGTCTAATTGCATAAATTTACAACAATGAACTTGTTTGAATGCTTAAATAATCTGCACTTACACATAATCCTGCTAGAATTACATTATCTAAATCTGAGTTGAGATAAATTTCCTTAATGATTTGTGCTGTACCTTGAACTTTTCGATATACACATGGAGAAAAGTAGGTTATTTATATTTATACAATATCACTCTAGGCCACTATCTTTTTTTTTGACAAACTGCATTTCATGCCATTAAAATTTGGAGAGATAATTTTCTACGCTTTCAATTGTAAGTACATTACTAAGTGTGTAGCAACATCCAACAAACTAAACATGCATAAATAGTCCTTTTTTTTCATGAATCACTGTCACTCTTTTTACCAAAATTAAATAGGATTAGGAAACTTTATGAATATTATTCTTTTGTATTCTTATCTTACAATGCATTAAATCAGTCTTCAAGTAACATTTTCAACATGTTAGAATCCTGGCACTGAGCTTCTTCTAACCGTTTTTGCTGTTAAAAACAAAAAAAAAACAGATATAGTTCCTCAAATACCTCTAACATATATAAATGACTATATCAACTGAAAACAATTATAGCAAATCATGATCTTAAGTCTGAAAGTAACGTATGTTTGAATATTCAGCATTTTTATGAAGGGATTAAAAGTTGAATAGTAAGTAATACTTAAACATTCAAAACACTAATTTAAATATATGACAATAGGATAAAAAACTAACTGGGAATTAAAAAATGTTTTCTGATAGTCATATGTAAAAACAAAACAGAATTACTCATGATATTTTTCTGATGCTTAAAGTTTCACAAAAAGTTTTACCAAGTTGACTTTCTCTCTTTCAAGCAAACTTTTGAAAAAAAAAAAACCCACAAAAAATCCAAAATAGTAGATCTTAACACATTTGAATGTGCAAGGCAAACAAAATTCAACATATTCTATGATCATTTGTAAGATGCTTATTAAAGCTGGTAGAATGTACTTAAACTAAGATTTTGAAATAGGTACCTATATACTCTTCAATCTTTGTGTATGACAAGGTCTATTTCATTACTGTTAATTTATAGGACAAGATACACAAGTATATTCTTTGGAAAAGCACATCTTTCAATTAAATAATTAATTATTTAGGACACAAGAAACATTGTAGGAAGAAGTAGGATAAGTCAAAACAAAAGTGCTTATAACAAATATTTTGTTAAAATCAATAAATTCATCATCAAACTAAAATGTATAAAACTAGTTAAAAGCAAATAATCAAAAGCAAAACCAAAGTGAATTGTGTAAAAGTTATTTGGCAACTGATATGGTGAACATAGTGTAGTTGAAGTACTATTATACATTATTTTTCTTGAAAAAAAATCTTACAGATGAAAAACATTTACACAAAACATGTAAGGCCTAATAATAATGTTTTATGACAAGTGTAATTAATGATTATCTTGCTTTGCCAGCTTAAAAAAGTTCACCCTTGTTGTTGCAACAAATGGTTTTCATAAATAATGTTCTGGCTACTACTGTATTCGTTGTGTCTCAGCTAACCTGATGAGCTATGTATTGAGCAAAAAGTAACAGTAGTAATGGATATGACAGACACACTGATATTAAAGTACTTTTTTATAGTCTCCTTTTTTTAAACAAAATCCTATGGAACCAGATAAAGAATGTACTGTTACAAATAGAATTGGTTCAATTATAATTACACTTTGTCAAATTAGAAAAGATGTTCACTCCATAACAATTGTTGTTGTAACAAATGGCTTATATAAGTAGCTCCTCCAAAAATTATTGTGTTTTGTGTCGTAGCCAGCTTAATAAGCCCTATACTGAGCAAAATATGTTGTTGGCAATCACAGTGTGGTTGAAATACTATTATACATTATTCCTCTTTTTGAAAAAATAAAATGCTATGGGACAATAAGGAAAACAGTGTTAAAAACAGAATAGGTATAGTACAACATCTTATGACAGGTATAATTAATTATAACCAAACTTCAACAGCTTAGAGAAGTCATTCACACCATAAAAATTGTTGTTGCAACAAATGGCTTATATAAATAGTTTTCCAACTACTACTGTGTTTGCTTTACCCCAGCAAGCCTGATGAGCTCTGTCTTGAAAGAACACATTGCCAGCTGTGGAATGGCAGACACAGCATAGTTGAAATACTACTAAAAATTCTTCTTCTTCTTCTTGTCCAATTCCCATATAACTAAAAAAAATGCAATTAACACATATAATAGGCCTAATACCAATTCTAGGGCATGGTTATGATCAATCAGTCAATCCTTATTTTGAATTTAATCATTATTTAATCAAAAAATATTTTTTAAAATGATGAAAAATGATTAATTTTCCAAAGAATATTAGCTTAATTTTATCATAATAATGTGGCCTTTGAATTTTGCACCTTTTGGCATGTATAAACTGGCTAATCTGCTCATGCCTGATTTCTTAAACTGAAGCAAACCAAATGGATGCAGCTAAAAGAAAGAGCTTTGATTCACAATGTAATGCATCTTTAACTCTTTTCACATTATTTCATGAAGAACTTTAGGCATTATGCATTTGTGTCCGTGTTATTGACTCAAACTTGAGTTTGAGAATGTACAAAAGTCCATCCCAAAGTGCAGAGACATGCCAACTTTTATCCTAAGGTTTGGAGACATGCTGAAGTCCACCTCAATGTCCATCCTAAAAGCTGCCAAGGTCAAGCAGCCTTCCATGATTAGGGTCACAAAGGTTCAGATAGCAAAGGAAGGTTTGAAACTTAAAAAGGAATTTTCCGTGTGCTATTTATTTTTTTGACAAGAAATGTCATACTTAGAAGCAGACTTTTGTAAGTTTTGACAGATGTTTATAAAGTCTGAGTTTCCTATAACGGGTCTAAAGGCTGATACAGGGTCAGAGAGGTGCAAGTCTTCTTAACAGTAGGTTTGCCAGCCATAAATGTACCACACCCTTTACACTTTGCTAGCAACAGTCAACTGTTCAATCTCAATGACTGCTCTGAATATCTCAGTGCCCTTTTGAGATATGTTTTGCTAAACTACATTGAAATATCCACTGGGTTTGTTACGAGGTGTTCTTCGCTACATGGGCATTGCCATCTTAGACCTAATTTTTTTGCAATGACGCACCAAAATTTATGATCAATTGTCGCACATTGACCTCAGAAATAAAGGGAGTATATGTTTATATATGTAAGCTTCATGTATAATTGGGTTGGATTTATCGTATGCTCTGAAATGTGCAACCGAATTTCTGAAACTCGTGACTGATATTTGCACAACCTTTTTATGTATTTATTCTTAGAAAGAAAAACAACACAAGAAATGGATTGTGAATGGGTTCCATCGAAATAAATATGCTCAGAAATCTGGAAACACTTCCTTACAAATCAAAGAAATACAACTGTGAAGAAATCCAAACATTTTAAAGCAACCTTCAAAGCCCATCTGTCAATGTTAACGTTCAGATATCATCTTGAGCACAAGCAGAATTTGAAGACAGGTCTCACCACCATTTCTGTATCGTCTCCCTCAACATCTGGTGACACCCAACCTTCAATCCTGTCCTACATCAAAAGGCCAACCAAACTTTCCCAGAATCAGTCCTTGCCAATTAGATTGCAGTAGACTGCATTCCCTTGCCACCTTGGCCAACATCACAGAAATCAAGAATGGGTGGAAAGCCCAAGAACTGAAGATGCCCATAACAGAGAAAGGCATTAGGGCAAAGGTCATTCCCTTTGGATAACAGCTTCAAGAGAAAATGAAGATTGAACTCAAGCAAAAGATAAATGCAGGGAAAAGATTTTCCTTGTTGTTGGATAAATAGACATACAAATGAAATAGAAGGTACATGTGCCTTAATGTTTGTGCTACAGACATAAACTTCTATGGACATGGCATGATAAGGGTTAATGGTGGCATGCCAGCTACTAAGGCAGTAGAGATTATCAATTAAAAAAACTGAAGTGGTTTGAGTTGTACTTGAAAGAGGACATCATTGCTGTTGTCACTGATGGTGCTTCTGTGAAGAAGAAGATGGGTGTTATCCATCAGCTTTGCCACAGTCATGGATTTCATCTGGCTGTTATTGACAGCTTCTATAAACAAATTAGGTAAACTTGATGAGGAAGAAAATGAAATTGAGGAAGCCACTAATGAAACAGTCAGAATAACATGTTGAAGAGGAGGAAACAGAAAATGAAACCTGACATGAAAAAGTCACAGATGAGAATGCTGAATTTGCAGACCATTTAAGTCATGATTGAAAAGATTAGAAAAAATTGTTTGCATTTTTTGCAAATCTCCAGTCAAAAATGATGATCTCTATAAACTAGGCTCAAAAGGGAAAAGAATTATCTTTGCTCATGGACACTTGTACCAGATGGAACTCTATGCTTATGATGTTAAAGAGGTTCTTGGAATTGAAAAGCACTGTTGCAAATGCTCTTATTGATGATTCTGTCATTGACCTTTTTCCCTCTGAGGAAGAGATGAAATTCACTTCAGAAAGTGTTGAGGTCTTAGAAGTTGTGGAAGTGAATGCCTTGATCAAGGCTGAAAAAATCCTTCAGTTTTGCTGAGGGAGTTAAATGAACAAGAGAGCAGATAATGCACAAGTTGTATCTGGCTACAGATCAGAATATTGAAAAAAAAAATACAAATCTTGCTGGTTTGTTATGCTATCTGGAGAGTACAAGTGTGTACAGCTCACTCTTAGAAGGTGACTCTTTGCTCCCAAGTCCATCTAGGAATGAAATTGCCAAGACATTTACATTCACCTCTTCCAAGACAGTTAGAATCAAACTGTTGATGAAATGTAACTACCAAAGAAATTGAGCAAGGCAGAGGAACTGGATGCTTTGATATCAGGAAAGAAGGAAGGAGGAAAAGCAAAAGTATTGGGTCCAGATTCTTCACCTCACAAGATCTTGAAATGTTTAGAGAGAAATGGCTGTCCTGGAAAGCATCAAGGAATAATCCAAATTCATTGGAGAAGGTATTGTTATGACAGCGGGGTCACGTGACGAATATTCTAGAAGATTCACTAGTGCATTGCGACAGCGGGAGTCAATTGACGCTGGTAGCATGTGTTGAGAGTCTTAGAAGTTTCTAGAACAAGCAGTATTATTGTATATAAGTGCGCTAGACAGTGAGAGAGACAGACGGAGTCGAAGCACTAGTGGAGACAGATGGAGGCAGAGACGTAGCGGAGACGAAGCAGGCAGAGAGAAAGTATTACAGCGATTACGGTCGACGGGAACTGAGGATAGCAGACACAGAGATCGGAACTATAGTTTGTGGGGACGGACAATTAAGTCAAAGCGCGATAGAAAGTGAGTGAATTGTT